TGCCATATTTGACATGTTCCAATGTTAGTCATAGGGCTTACAGAGCTAATCCCTTAAAAACAGACCACGGATTCCTTCTTCGAGTCTTGTCTTCGTTTGGAAGCCTCACCGAAGCCTGATCACCATGATAACCCTGTTGCTATTTGAAATACTGCTGGTATAATTTGCAGAATCAGAGCAACACCACCCGACTCCACCCCCCGCACTGACAGATAAGTGAGGATTAAGAGGCCTACTCTTTCTACCAGTTATTATTTTTATTGTATGTACTCCCCTCCCACCTGCATTGAGTGAGCTCCAACTCATGGGAACTTCATGTGTGTCAGAGTAGAACTCCATTTCTCTGGCTGATTTTTCTGAAGTAAATGATTAACCTTTTTTTTTTTCTGAGGTGCCTTTGCAGTGTCATGCGCTCAGTTTGTAGCCCCCAAGGATTCCACATGATACATCGTTCATTCTTCCGGGGAAGCATGGAGGGAGGACACTTACTTCTCTGCCCTGGGGACAGACGTCATAGACTATCTCACACTTAGCTCCACTAGCCATTGTCGATGGTTGATAAGAGAGATGTTCTGTTCGGGAGAGAAAGAGTGATGGTGCTACCTTTCCAGGGCTGGTTTTCTTGGTTTTGGTTTTTAAAGGCAAAGGGGATGAGAAAGGTAGAAGATGGATCTAAGGGAGTGCCAACCCTGTTGGTGTGAATGGCTCTGACTGTTGGCTGAAATAGTACATATATGTGATGTGGTATGAAGTTGATTTTCAACTCAGTAACCCCATGTAAGGGAACAAAACTGCCCCACAGGCTTTCTTGGTTGTAATCTTTATGGGAACAGATCATTAGATCTTTCTCCAAGAACCTCAAGGTGAGTTTGAACTGCCAAGTTTGGGGCTAGCATCTGACCCCTTAACTGTTGCACCCCCAGAGCTTCTGAGCTTCTGATGCCTGACCATTGGCAGTTCTAACGCCTTTACCGGGCAGGACACACATGGGGAAGTTGCCCTTTCCAGTCACACTTCATGCGCTGAAGCCTGTGCAGGGAGTTGCAGTCAAGGGTTTTGGTGCCCTTGACTGGTCACACCCTTTTCATACTGGGGCATAATGCCCAGCACAGACACCTCCGTTTGGAGGCCTCTTTACCAGCGTTCTTCAACAGAGGGCTTCCTCAGGTGCTTCTGCTAAGACCTTCTCTTAAGGGGAAGATGTGGGAGACCTTGAAGATGTTTATCCACTCTGAATGAGTACTCAGTACTTTCCCAGCCTGGTCCTTTCCTCCCTCCCTTCCTCTGGCCTTTGAGTCCATACAACGGTAAGAGTGTGGTTCTCCCAGGAGAACCTGTGGTGTTCTCCCCGACCCTTTCCCCATGCCATTCCACGAGGAACAATGGAGCAAGGGCAGCCTGTGCTTCCTCCAGTTTGTTGTTGTTAGTTGCCACCACGCAGAATGGAATGCTGCCTGGGCCTCTTGCTTATATTATCACAGCTGGCAATTGAAGATGGAACCATTATTTTCATGTCGGTTCATTATCTTCATTGTCTACTTTAACATCTGGCAGCTCAATTAAACTCTCTCCAGATCAGATCGGCTGTTGGAAAGTTTTACCTTGTTTTTGAGGTAAGAATTAGGCTGAGTGAATCAGTCAGTCCCCAAAGGACGGATATTTTAAGATCCATGTGTGTGGTCTATCTAGAATAGGCAAATGTGTACACATCAAACATTCCAAAGGTAGGAGGAAGAGGAAAGAGAGAGTCATTCATTACTTAGGGAACTCTGTTAAGGGTCATGGGCAGTTTTGGACAGCGTGCTGATGGTTGCGCAACACAATGAATGCAATGCCACTCCACTTTACATGTCAAATGTTGAAATAGCAAAGGTTCTTTCCATTTTTAAAATGAAAAAAAGTACTATATGATAATGTCATAAACGTTTTGGCCAACTGAGGTGAGTCTTTTTCTCTCTTTCTTTTTGTAGGTTTAAAAAGCAAACCAGTTGCTATAAACCAATTCCAGGCCATTGTTGGATGTTGTTAGTGTGTGATCAGATCATTACATAATTGATTTTGTAAAAGAGAAAAAATAATCTCAGGAACTTGGAGAGGATTGTGAGGGAGAAAGGGGGAACAGATGACAAGGGCTACATATAACCTCCTCCTTGGGGGACGGACAGCAGAGAAGTGGGTGAGGGAGACGTCGGATGGTGTAAGATATGATAAAATAATAATTTATAAATTATCAAGGGTTCAGGGGCAGGGGGGAGTGGGGAAGAAGGGGGAAAATTAGGAGCTGATACCAAGGGCTTGAGAAGAAAGCAGGTGTTTTGAGAATGATGATAGCAACATATGTACGAGTGTGCTAGACACAAATGATGTATGTACGGATTGTGGACAGTTGTATGAGCCCCCAATAAAATTATTTTAAAAAAGAAATATTCAAGGAACTCCAAGAATAATTATGAACATTGACAGCCCCACAGTTGCTTGCAACTCCCCTGCATTGAGTTGAATAGTGTACCCTCAAAATTCATATTCAGCCAGGACCTCAACAGAGGACTCTGTTTGAAAGTGGAGTCCTTGAAGATATGAGTTGTTTAGTTAAGAGGAATCATACTGAATGAGGGTTGGCTCCCAATTCAATGACTAGTGTCTTCATGAAAAGGCCATATCAAGCACACGGACACATGGGCCAAGGCACACCAAGGACATTAGGAAAGGGGCACAGAATACACTGTCCCCAAAAGTCTCTAAAACCAACCCTACGGACAGCCTGATTTCAGACTTCTAGCCTTTAGAAAAAGGAATCCTGGTGGCACAGTGGCTAAGCACTCGCCAAGGTCAGCAGTTCAAATCCACTGCTAGCTCCATAGGAGAACGATCTGGAGCTCCACTCCCATAGTATCATAGTGAAGACAATCCCATGGAATGGTCTACTCTCTCGTAGGGTCACTATGAGTTGGAATCAACCTGGTGGCACACAACAACACAACAGCCTCCAGCACTCTGAGACACTACGTTTTTGCTGTTTTAAGCCACCCCATTTGTGTCACAAGAACCCTAGGAAACTAACATGTATCCTTAAATTGGGGCCTTTTGAGGTTATGACCCATGCACATTGTAGACCATTTCCTGTCTTCATGAAAGCATTTCTCTGTTCAATAGGCTGCATGAGGACCTGGGCACTTTGGCTGTTGTGAATTACCATCAACAAGATTCCAGTTCATGGAGACCCCACATGTAGCAGAGTACATCTTATATTTGCTATCACTGATATCAATTAGGAATAATACAAGACTATCTGGGTCTTGGTGACATTTCTTAGCCTTTGATTCCAGGAATTAGGATCAGCTAGGAGCTATGGATTGGTTTGCTGGTAGTGAGTATTCATATGGAAGCTGTGTCTTAATCCATCTGCCACAAACTCGACCCTCTGGTGAGTAAGCGAGTAGCTTCCAGAGGGTAAAACCATGCTAGATCTACACACATCGGAGTTTGGGTTTCAAATGACTTACTCTCATTCCAGGGAAAACTAGCTATGGACTGTGCTCCTAAAGACCAGTAAAAGAAGCATTCCCCAGGACTGCCTCTCCAGGCTCTCATCAGATCAGGGACGGGGCCTCTGTGGTCAGCAGGATTGGAGTGGACGCTCAATGATGAACGCCTGAGTCCTGAACAAGGGTAAGCGTGGGAAGATGCAGCATCCAGAGCAAGGACAGGGGCAACCCAAAAGTTCTGCCCACAGCAGGCCAGACAGAATAGATAGAATACTGTGGTAGTTACATAATCTGATGTCAATTTGAGGATCAAGAGTGTAGGGGTGGAGTCTAGCCTGTCAATCAGGATATAGCCAATGAGGCCTCTGTGTGGGCATGACCTTCTCCTGAGGATTCAGGGAACTCCTGTATTTCCTCGTTGGAGGTAGGAGATACTCTCTCTCTCAGCTCACTCCCTGCAAGAGATCCCTGTGGAGAAGCCACATGGAGAGAGGCTGAAGGAGCCACGTGGAGACCCCTTCCAGGGCTAAGATGCTTACAATGCCACTGGATCCACAAGACTTCCCATCCACTGGTCTGGGATCTTCCTGCATTTGGCATCATTGTATGTATTTCATGAGTCTGAAGAGGACTTTATAGATTGGTATTGGACATATGGGCTAATACTGGATTTATGGACTTGACTTGGACCAGGCTGGCATGTTTTCTCAATTTTCAATTGCTCTTGTATATAAAGCTCTTTCTTATACACATATGAGTGTTTCTGCATTTGTTTCTCTAGTTTAGCCAGACTATCACACATACTGTGCAGAACTCTCTCCCAGAAGGAACTCTTGACACCCACAGGTCTCAGGGAGATAGCAGGAATTAGGGGAGCTGCCAAGGGACAGGTTGGACTTTCCGTATAGGCTTTGGCATGGCTTATTGCCATACCTAGGTTTCGCCTTAGTAGATAAGGGGGTCCTTTATCTAATCACTGTTCCCCCAGAGAGACTTTGGATCAACTACTCTAACATCAAAGTGGTATTTTTGCTAGCAATGTTTATGTCCTTTCTAGTTGACTCATTTGATTACTTCACCTTTAATCCCCACTTTCTTCATCTTGGAGGTTTGCCCTGAAGGATGAGCAATTCAAAGTTAAATATACCATGTCTATCTAATCTAGCCTTTTTCCCTTTTTCAAATGTCCAAGATAAGCACTGGTTGTACTTCCTTTCAGGCTACACATTATAAAACAGTTCTAATTCTTCGGCAGCGCTAAGCTTTGGAGTGGACACAGCACTATTCTTTCATTCAGGGTAACCCTGACCCCACTTTCAAGCTCTCTCACAGTCCCCTCAGCCCAGAACTGGATGGAGAGGAGACTTTGGTCTAGACACATGTCCTGGGGTCCCTAAAAATGGGACTAAAGCAAAATACCCTAAAACCTATGTCCAAGAAAGAGCAAGCATGGGGTGGGGTGGGGGTGGGGGGAATACAGTCTGAGACGTCTTGATGGCAATCATACTCTTTCATTTTTAATTGATTTGTTAGCAAATGCCAGTAGAGAGGTGGTAGTTGAAGCACAGAGCTCAGAGGAAGAAAGACCTTAGACTTCCCCCGTTGGACATCAGTGCCTCCTTGGCCGTCTCAGACAAACGCCCTCTTGTCTTCCCTTCCACCCAGCGCTCTCCAAATGCGAGGGGTTGTACATGTCTGTCCTTTCATCGCTTGGGCCCATGGGAGCGACGAAAGGGAAAGTGCCACCTTTCCTGAGGGGAGGCCTGTGGATAGTCAGTGTCCTTCCACAGTTATCTCTCCTTCCTCTCTCTCCTTTTGATTCTAAATGGAACATTTCTCCTCCACCAGCAACGTAGGGGTTCTTGTGGAGTGAGCCCCACTCGAAAGGACCAGACCCTCCATGCTGACTCTGTAGGGCAGGGGAGGACTGCCCTGTGGGTTTCCAAGACTGTAACTCTTCAGGGGAGTAGAAGGCCCCAGGCGGAGACCCCAAATCTACTTTTGACATGGTTTTATCGCCACTCAGGCTCTTGAGAAAACCTCTTCAGAGCCCACGCTTCCTCTTCTTAAAATGGTAAGAAGAAGTGCATACAGGTAGGGTGCTATATGAACCCTCTATGTAAGGACTTCAGATAGCTATGGTTCCTCTTAGTCAGGGCACAGATGGGCTGGGTCTGCGTGGTGAGAGTTTGAATCGAAGCACACTGAAAGGAGCTTTGGCTCTCATGGCTCACTGCCTTGTGACCTGTCTTACAGGACAGGAGAGAAGGAAAGGAAGGAAGGCTGAAGGCAAGGGCGGCTAATCTGATCGGCATCCCATGATGAGGATGCACAGCAGTCAGTACTAAGGGACTCTCCTTTCTGGTACCTTTTCCTGACCCATCACAGTCTCCCCTCTTTCTGAGAGCTCTGAGATCTTCACTCTCCTTCCATACCTTAGGTGCATGCATCATACGTGAGCTCCGGGTGGGTGCAGTCCCCACACCACTCTGCCCAAGCAAGCACGATCAGACCATCGAGGAGAGGACCACCCAGCCTCTGGGGACAGAGAGGAAAGTCTAGCGGAGGCATGAGTGCAGGCGGCAGGAAGCCCCTGGAGCTGAGGGCCCGCGATCAACATGAATCGGAGTCATCCTGAGGTGATTGTGGCAAGGGAGGGAGGCGGCACACGGCTCAGGCGTCGCGGGGGCCAGCTTGGACATTCTCGGCTATGTTGTTGGACTGGAGCAGGAAGGCAGTGTAGGCCATGTCGGCTTCCTCCTTGGACGACTGAGGGAGCAACAGCAGGGAGTCAATCAGTGTGGGGCACTGGCTCAGTGCTGAGTGGGGCTGGGGGACCGGGGAGGAAGGGGTGGTCACAAAATATTCTGAATGCATAATCTTGGGGCCTAACCAGGATGGGAATCCAGCACTCCTACTCGGGGCCCCGTGGTCACCAGGAGGGACTGATTTTGAGAAATGGAAAGTTGAGGCCTCTAAAAATAGCTCCCTTTGTCTCACTACCTCCTTCTGACACTCGGAGTGGAACCACCTCTGTGGCCTGGGCCTGTCCCCGGAAGCTCTGCCCACACAATCCCTGGGTCAAGGTGGCAAGACTGGTGCTGGCCACAGAGGATTCAGGTTTCTTGGTCCACCAACCCAGGAAGGTCACTTTCTAGCACCATGACTTGAGAGGAGAAGGCCAAGTGTGGAGCAGCTGGTTCTTGCTTATGTGCTGCTGTGGGGAGAGCAGCCATGATAAAGGAGCCCAAGCACCTCAGGCTTAGAGCTACCTTCTGAGGGTCCCCGAAGCTCAGCACGAGGGCAGGGTAAGGCACAATCCAAAGGCACAGCCAGCCTTGTTGGGGGTCAAAGAATCATGACACTTGGATGGGACAGGGGAGGACTTCTAGTGACTATCAAATTGGCCACCACGAGGAACATCAGGGCTGGCTGGTCCTGAACAAACCCACAAGTGAGGGCAGGTGGCCTGAGCAGCCTTTCCCACAGCCTAGGACAGTGGTTCTCAACCTGTGGGTCGTGACCCCTTTGGGGGTCGAATGACCCTTTCCCAGGGGTCTCTGATTCACAAAAGTAGCAAAATTGCAGTTATGAAGTAGCGACGAAAATAATTTTATGGCTGGGGGGGTCACCACCACATGAGGGACTGTGTTAAAGGAAGGAAGAGAACCACTGGCCGAGGATTACGTTTCCCCTTAATCCACTTAGCCTTTGAGATGTGATCTGCTTGCCCTCAGACCTAATCTTCCACACGCTGGCCCTCCCTATCCCAGTCTCTGACCCTCCCGCAAGTTTGCTGTGGCTGGTGCTGCAGACTCAACTGTCAACTAGAATCCAGGGGCTCAGTAGAACCGCTCCATAGGCTGCTCTCGGCTGCTGTGTTTATGGGAGCACGCTGCTCACCAAGTCACTGAGCGGCTCCAAGCCACCCATCTGTAGATTAGCACGGTGGCAGGAGTTGGGGAGGGGCCAGGGATAGCGTGAGGGTGGGTCATATGAATGCGTACACCACCAGAGCTTTGAAAAATCTAGAAATGCAGCTCATCTTCTTCCTTATCCTACGCTGCCTCAACCCCCAACAGCCAAGCCCTTCTCAGTAAGAGTTATATCCCCTTCATAAAATAGTATTCTGGCATGGGGCCCCACGTTGAGGTCGTTTTGCCAGCTGGTCTAACGGCAGTCCTTCATGCTGCCTTTCCTGCCACCCCTGGCTCACCCTTACCCGCTTGGCCTTCTTGGGGTCTTCGCTCTGCAGGTTGCTCTCCACGGCGCCCCCTGTGGTGGCCGTGGAATCTGAGTAACGAGGAGGAGATGGATTAGGCCTCGCTAGTGGATCGTCCCACCCCAGCGATGGGGAGTCCCTTCCAGCTCTTGTCCCTTGGGGGGCTGAACATTCCCTTGAGTGAGGGCACATACCATCCTTGGTCCCTAGGGATGTCTCTTGAGTGATTGAAGAGACGCCTTTGTTGTCATTTGGGCCCAAATCCCTCGAGTTCTCCAATTCGGACATGCTGATATCGGTCCTGTAGCTTCTAATTGAAATTCGATCTACCCAAGAGAAAGAAGTGTGGGCATCAGGGTGGGTGGGATGTGAAGATGAGAAGCTTCGAGAGATGCTGCTCCTCTGGGGAGGATCTGGCCAGGATAGCTGAGATGGCACTCACTGCTCATCCCTGACTGTTATCTGATCCAAACGGAGATGATTTTTGGATCATCACCCTCGACCCTTTTCCATGAATACCGTAGACTTCGTCAGTCCTGGCTTCTGTTTGCTCCTCGGTGACTGTTCAGTGCACGATGCTTCCTTTCATCCCCGCCCCAGCCTGCAGCGGTGGATTTCATGATCCCTGCTTTGAGCGATGAGGAAACTGAGGGCTGAAATGAGCACTCACCCCCAGTCACACTTTAGTTCGTTTTCACACTCCTCCCATCCTCATTTCCTTTCCCTAGGTTAGCCTGCCTTAGAGCCCAGACCCGGGGCATCAGAGATGCCCTCCGAGAGACAGTCTTCAGAGCAGTCACCGGTTGTCGAGCCCATCCAGGCCCTGGTGACCCACGTGTTACAGGGCAGAGCAGTGTACCCCCCAGGGCTTCAGGGCTGCGACTTTCCAGAAGCATCCCTCCCTCCAGGCCTGCATTCTGAAGCATCCTGGATGGGTTAGAACCACCAATCTTGGAGTTAGTAGTTGAGCACTGAGTTGCCCAGGCCACCCAGAGGCTTCTGCTATTTAGACTGCAGTGTTTTGCTTAACCTGGGGATAGGTGGGGCTTTGCCCGACTCCATCTTCCTTCCCCAGCTTCTGTTATCTTTGCCTACGAAAGAGAAGCGACCACGGCTGCCTCCTCTAGGGGCAGCAGAGCCAGGATAGGGGGCTCAAGGCTAGAGGTGGGCAGGGAGCATCCTGGGAACTCACCAACATTTCTCCTGTGCCGGGCTCTGAGGACTCCCACGACCGCAGCGCCCACTGCCAGCACCAGGGCCAGGGGCACCAGGGTGGAGACCAGCACCGTGGAGCTCCCGCCTTGTCTTCCAGCACTGCGAAAGGGATTGCGTTCATTCATTGCTGACCGGGAAGCCCAGTCCGGGGTCCTAGGATGTGCTGACCAGTTGACACTGGTTCCTTTGCTCCTCAGTTGGCTCACTCCCGTCTAATCTCGTTGCCATTGAGGCGATGCCAACTCTTAGAGACCCTAACGGGCGGGGTAGAAACTGCCCCTTCGAGTTTCTGAGACTGTAACTCTTCACAGATCAGAAAGCCCTGCCTCTATCCCATGGGTCAGCTGGCGGTTTCGAACTGCTGACTTTGAGGACCGCAGCCCAGTGTGTGACTGCCATGCCACCAGGGCTCTCTCCCTTCTGATACAGTTCCTAGCTCTGTTCTTCCCAGAAACTTTCTTAACTATGTCAAAGCCAAGGCACAGCCCTTCTCTGCATCCTAATTCCGAGGCCTTGAACTGACTTGTAAGCATGGTCTGTGATGGACTGAAGTGGGCCTTCCTTGGGGCTCCCCATCCCCAGTAGGTGCTGTGAACCCTGCTCTGGGCAGGCAGTCCTACCCAGGTCTTCAGTTGTATTAATGAGGCTCTTTCAGCAGAGGGTGTACCTGAAGTCTGACCACCTCAACAGACAAAAGGAGCAGATCAGACAAGGGAGGATGAACAAGGGAAGAGACCGTGGCCGTATGGAGAAGAAGGTCAGAGAAGTGGAGAAAAGGTGTTTCCCCCAGAGCCAGCAGAGCAAGCGAGCCTCCCCCTAGAGCTGGCACCTCGAACCCAGACTTCTAGTCAACTCGATGCTGAGAAAATAAGCATCTGTTTGTTGAAACCAATTGCTTGGGGTCTTTCTCTTGTAGCCGTGCTAGAGAATGAAGCCATGGCTTTCACCACAGACGGTGGGTAAGAAGGTGCCTGCAGAGGGAGTAAGGGCAGCCCCCATCATTTAAGAGGGTACAGACTTTCCTCTGTGGGCTCTGCTGGCCAGCCTCAGCCCCTAGGACATCCCCCATCTGCAGAGTCTGCAACCCTTCCTCACCTGCCGGTACTGGGATGGCCGTCAACCTTGCTTTCACCAGCCGGCTCTACAAAATCCTCATTCACAACAAGCTTGGGGTCCAGAACGGCTTTGTTCCCAAACTCCGGGACATTGGGTTGCACCACCTCGCCACCGGGAGCAGCATTTGCTTTGCTGATGATGTCATGGAATCCTGGAGCAGAGGAGAGGAGGGGGAAAGAGAGTATGTTTAAAAAATTATTTTTCCTCTTTGAGGCTAGAAGGAGCCCTGGTGGCATAGTGGTTATTTGTTGGCCTGCTAACCACAAGGTAGGCAGTTTGAAACCGCCAGCTGCCCTACAGGAGTAGATGAGGCTTTCTACTCTGGTAATGAGTTAGAGTCTCGGCCACCCACAGGAGCAGTTCTACTCTACCCTGTAGGGTCTCTATGAGTCAGCCTCGACTCGATTGTGGGGAGGGTTGTTTTCTCTTTTGAAGTTAGGGAGTGTGAGGATGGGGCTTCATTAGAAATCTCAGGGTCAGGGTTGTAGCACCAGGCTGTTGTTGTGGGACCCAGGACGTCATTAGGGATAAAAGAAAGGTAGCCTTCTCACGACGGTCACAAATGATTTCTTCCCCACTATTGCATTCATTTCCAGCTGTGAGGCTCCATCACAGATCCAGCTGTGCATAAAGTCTAACCTGTCACTAAAATACAGCCTGGAAACCTGCCCAGGCTTCTTGACTGTTGGGTTTGGATTGATGGTGCTTCCCCCTGGTGACAGTTTGTAAATGATCCCCAATCGTGAGCCAGACCAGCTGGAATCAACCACACACGAGGGCTTTTCCTCCTGCTTTGTGGCCTGATTCAGACTCACGGTGACCCCAGGTGTGTCAGAGTAGAACTGTACTCTCTAGGATTTTCAATGGTTGAGTTTTCTAAAGTAGCTCCCCAAGCCTTTCTTCCCAGGGTAGACTCACTCCTCCAGCCTTCCGGCCAGCAGCTGAATGCATTCACGGTTTGCATCAACCAGAGACTCCTGTAGGAGTCTAGGGGGAACTACAAGAAAAGGTCCACTGCCTTCAAGTCAATTCTGACTCATAGCCACCCTGTGTAGGCTTTCCAAGACTGAAATCTTGACAGAAGCAGACAACCTCATTTTTCTTCCATGGAGCAGCTAGTGGATTTGAACTGTTGACCTTGCAGCTAGCAGCCAATGCTTATCCCACAGTGCCACCACACGGTCCTCCTTTAGAGGCTTAGGAACTCTATATGGTTTGAAAAGAAAACTGTAAGATGTGCCTTGAAGCTGAGGTTAGAAAGCAAGCCCACTATTTTTACTTTTCTCTGTATGTTTACTTGGGATGCCCCGTTGGAGCGCTGACTGTGGCTATATGTGGGCCAAATCCCTTGGTACCCCAACTTGTTCTAGCAAAAACTTAGGGTACTCCCCTGACTAAGAAGTCGTTACAGGGTGCTGCTGCCTCTGGGGCCTTGGGGGGCACTGGCCTTGCCCTTGGAGACTCACTCTCTTTCCTCTCCAATACGGTCACATAGACAGCCGCAGTTTCTCCATAGCGGTTGCCCTGTTTCACTCCGCACCAGTACCAGCCCTCGTCGGCCTTCTGGACTGATTTCAGGGTTAGGGAAATGCGCTGGTTGTTCAGGTCGCAAGTGACAACTTCCTGGCTGGAGCCTTCTTCTTGGCTGGGCAGGGTCCGGCAACCAGTGTCACTCCACTTGCACCAGTATTTTGTGTATGAATAGTAATGGCATGAAAAGTTGCAGGAGAACATCAGATCATCTCCCTCCAAAACGCTGAGAGCCTCCGGGACCTGTAGCTTGGGTTTTCCTGCAGCTAGGAGGAAGGAAGAAACAGACACGGGAGTTGGCATTGGTGGTGCTAAGGAGATGAGACTTGGGTCGGGGACCTGTGCCCATAGTCCATTTTCTCTTTGGATGGCATCGTAAAGGGAGATGGTACATTGAAGACATATGCCATGGCCGCGGGAGGGGTGTTCGATCTAAGAATGATCACCGATGACCACCAGGATTCAACCCATGGTCTGTTACGGACACACAGAACCTAGTAATTTAACTTATGCAGTCCTTTCGCCTACCGTCTCTCCTAGACCCAGTCATGGGCAACACACAATACTCTATTTCAGGTCATGCTGTGTCTGACATAAAGGAATAGGAGGTGCTATATAGGTGGTAGCTTCAAGGGTGCAGACGTGAACAGGGGAAGGTACTTGTTACAGGTGTGAAGATAGGTCCTCTGGGGAGGTAGGTGCTCTCCTGGGAATTGTCCCATCCAGCACAGTGTCAGATGGAACTGGAAGAGGACTGGGTGTTGGGCGGAGGGTGACACGGCTGCTAACTGGAGGGCTCCTGAGTCTGTCTTCCCCATCACTGTAGTTTGACTCTTACCATCAATAATCTTGAGCTCCACAGTGGACCGCCAACGGATATTGCCATTGGTCAGACACCAGTAGAACCCAGCATCCTTGGGGGTGAGCTGGTTGAGTATGACCGTGTAGGTGCCATTGCCTGGCTCTTCAAAGAGCACCAGTCTGCCCTTGTAATCTTGGCTAACCAGCCCCGTACTCTCCACCAAGAGTGGGCAGATGCCATTTTTATTGTCTTCCCAGCGGCACCAATACTTCAGGGTGTTACTTTCCTTCGGGTTGTAGGGGCAGCGCACTGCCACAGAGCCTCCGGCCACACCCTTCACCACAGACAGAGTTTGGGGGATGTTGGTCTCTGGAAGCATACAGAAAGGTGGGATGAAGGATACAACATGGTAATGATCTTCCTTGCGTTTTCCCCAACCGAGGAAGGGTGTGTTGGTTATACTAATCACCACCACCCCCTCAGATAATGAGCAATACTTTCCAAATGGCCCTGCACCTATAATGGAAGCCATCGGGACTAGACCCCAGTGGCCTTAACCACCAGCCCGACAACCTCACATTATTCTGAGTATAGAATGGAAAGAGTTGAAGGTGAAGCAACCGCCCTTCAATTTCCTCTTTTTCTTTTTTTTAGCAGCTTTATTAGCACTTGATCCACAAGTCATGCGATTCAATAATCCCATTATATCAAGGAGAGTTGTACAACCATCACCACACTCCATTATAGAACATCTTCTTCTTCCTTGTACTCATTGTTGTTCATCTAACTTTTCCCCTAATTGTGGCAAGAATAGACACAACAAAGCCTTCTACATGTAGAATTCAGTGCCATTGATTATACTCTTCATGTTATGCAACTATTATTGATATTCTTTTCCAAATTGTTCCACCATCATTAACACAGATTCAATGCCCCCTAAACAATAACTCTTTCTCATTCACCCATGGTAACCACTGGTCAAGTTTGGTTCCTTCTTCTTTTTTTAAGTAGATTTCTTGATAAAAGATTCACATATCATATACTTACCTGGTTAAATCGCTTTTAAAAAGAGTTGTGTATGCATCATCACAATCGGTTGTAGTGTTCCCTCCCTACCCCACCCCCACCAACCCCAACTTTGATTTCTTACAAAACTACTTTCTGTTTGAAATTTTGTCTATTTGCTCATCACACTTCGAAAAAAAAAAGATTTGGATTTTATCCAAAATAAGAAAAAATATATTTAGAATAGTGTTTGAAATGCTCAGTATGCATAGATAAGTTTAATTATTGAGAGCCTCCAAGGAGCGCCTCCAAGTAGCCAGCACTGCGTTCCTTTGAGAATTGTGGGGGCAGCAGGTTCGGAGCAATGCTACAAGGAGCCAGAGCTGTCTAGAGAAACAATGGACAGGGACTACGAACCCCTTAAAGACAAGCTGGGTCTACAACTACTCCATTTGGTGCTTCTCAAGCGGGCAACTCTCTGTCAAGTGCTCCCGCACGAGACAGGGCAGGGATTCAACTACTTACCACGCTGATGGTTCTTCTGTGTAGAACCAAATAGGCTAACAGGGAATCCTTACTAAGAGATGGTGGGGCAGAAAATATAGGGGTTGGGGAATTATCTTCCTGAAAAAACTTTAAAGGTGAGATAAGCCAATTCGTCTCTCATCTACATGTGAGCAGTGAAGAGCTAGACTGTGCAGGGAGGGGCAAATGATCCCTGCAGCCCCTGCCACAGCACTGGGATTTCATGTGAGGGTCTCCCGGAGGCAGTGTATCTAGCTATCTGAAACCCAGACCCCCTTCTGAACGCCAGCCTCCCCGGAATCAGGACTGTCACTGTCCTCATTTCTATGGCAAAGGTGAAAAGGCCTTTAATGACACACACATAAAAATAAGTTCCTCAGCATAAAGGCCTGGGGTCTACTTTTTAAAAGATCGTGGGCATTGAAAACCTTATGCAGTGCAGTCTTGCTCTGACACGCATGGGCTTTCAATGCATCAGAATGGATTCCACAGCAACTGACTTTTCCACACAAGGCAGAGGCATGTTGGCTAGCTCTCCTTCCTGTGTGATTCATGTCATCACCAGCTCAGGGTCCATCAGTGAGTGGATGTTGTCCACTGACTAACGAACGTCGATGAATAGACTCACTCCTAGTTCATGCCACAAAGAAAAAAGGTGAGCTCATCAGCTTGCCCTCCCCTCCTTGCTCCCCACTCCAGAGTCTCACCCTCATTGACAAAGAGCCGCCAAGCTTGGAGGGGCCAGCCTGGCTCCAGCACACCGTCAGGGTTGGCGCCACACAGGTATTGCCCCGCATCCTCCTTCTTCAGGCCTGTGATTAACACACTGAACACGCCATTCTTGTCCATGGGGGTGAGCAGGATCCTGCCTTTAAAGTCTGGTGCCTTCTTCCCCAGGGTGTTGATGACCATGTCACAGCCGTCCTTGTCATTTATCCGACACAGAAATTTGGGCACCTGTTCCATACCAGAACCCAGGTCACAGTCCAGGCTTATGGAGCCCCTCAGGTCTCCATAGACCAGCTCGGGCTCGGGCTTCAGCACCTGGAGATAAGCATATCTTTCTTCCTGCCCAGCCTTGCAGGTATACAATGCGGAGTCATCAGGACGGAGTTGGCTGAGGGTGACGGTGAACAGTAGTTGGCTCGTATCTGGTACATGAAGGTTTACTCTGCCTTTGTACAATGGGTTCGTGTTCAAGGAGTCAATGATTAGCACGGAATGATCGCCAACCTTCTTGTACAAGGCCTTCGTCCAGGGGGCATTTTCAACCTTGAAAGGGCACTGGAAGGTCACACTTCCACCCACATTCTCGGTGTAGACTGGAGTGTCCGGTGGGAGGTCAAGACCTGTAGGATGAGGTGGGGGACACAAGTGGTGATTCCACCTCCTTGCAATCAAGAACCACTTACAGTTCCTGATAAGGGTGTGGGTGTGCCTGTCATCCAGAATACCCTCTTCTCCAAAGGGCCACAATCACCCTAGGCCTTCCAGACCCAAACCCGTCACCACCGAGTCTGTTCCAACTCACAGCCATCCTATGCAGGTTTTCCAGGCTGTGAATCTTTACAGGAGCAGAAAGCTTCATCTCTTTCCCACAGAGCAGCTGCTGGGTTTGAACTGCAGACCCCTGTGTTAACATTCCAATGCTTACCCATCAGTGCCTGCTTGAATGAGGCCTTCTCCACGAAGCTGCCCTCGGATTGGCTCTGATCTCTGATCTCTAATCTCTGCCTCTGCTCTCTCAGCACGCACATTGGACTCCCTTAGGATGTCCAATCTTGTGCATGGCTCATTGCGCTTCTCCCTGCTTGCCCCATAGTCTGGAAGACTCTGGAAGGCAAATGTACCTTTCGCTCCTCTTGACTCCCTGGACCTATGTCTAACCATCGTAGGTGCCCAGAGCAATGAATGGTGAAATGAACAGAATGAATGTAAGTACCAGGGTGGCAGATTGGAGCGCGTTGCCATAGCAGCTTCTAAAAATTCCCACAGTCCAAGCATGGGATGGACTGTTATGCAAAGTGGCAAACTCCCTCGTCTGCAGCATTTAACTGGAGGCTGCAGTCAGTCTACGCTGTTCTTCTAGAACATTCTATTTAGCGTGAATTCCAACCAGGAC